TGTAGTACCTCTGAGTCTGGAGAAGAAGATTTTTGAAATATTGATTAATTTTCCCTTTGGGGCCCCACCCTGGCCCCAGGGGTCGGGGTAGGAATCCCAATTTTACAATTTTGAAGCCTCATCTACCAAGGATGATTCTGACCAAGTTTGAAAAAAATCCATCCACTGGTTCTTGAGAAGAAGTTGAAAATGTAAAAGTTTACGCACGACGCACGACGACGGATGAAAAGCGATTAGAATAGGTCACTTGAGCAAAGCTCAGGTGACCTAAAAATGGTAATGTTAGAACAGACGGTGTGTAACCTGGCACTGAAAGGTATTACGTCACTTTGTAAACACAATGGATCCAGGTATTGTAATTTGTTCAATTTACTGAAAATAATTCTAATCAATTTTTTTCATATGTTTGAACAAAGATTGTTTTTATGTTAGCCAAACTCACATTGATCAAATATATGTATTGATTTGTCATCAGATCGTTGAAGGGAGGGGGAGGGGGGTCGAACATATACCAATCAACCAATTAGTCTAGGTCCCAGAAAGGCTTTGCTTTAGTCTGGATCCCTTATAGGCTTTACTTTATAGGCTGTATCTAATATGAAGATTGATTTTAGGAGTGTTATACTTAAGCCTGCATGTTAGTTACGTGGAGTGTAAGCAGACATAATATTGAATTATAACCTGTGTTCCTCATTATCACCATCACACGGATATTGTTGAAGTATTAAATCATAAATAGGTAAATACCACACCAGTCAGAGTCATGCAGGAACGTTTTGGATCCAAATTTGATCGAGAAATGTTTGAAAACATATTCAAGTTCAAAGTGTAAATTAGAAATAAATATAGAAATGTTATGAGTATATATTAAAGTTTAAGCATTTTAAATCCAAAATAAGTATATATTCCAGTCTATAGTGTTTAAAACTGGAGAACAATCAGGAAATATTTTTAACTATTCAATTTTCATGTGTTTCAGCCAGAAATCATTATAAGCAATGTTTAGAGTATAAGTTCAACTATTTTGGATTAGAGTTAATTAAATGGTACTTTAAGTACATATTCTTGATATAATTAGGTATTGATTACAACATCATGAACAGGTATCTCGAAGCTACTATTGACGGTTTCTGTTTTATTTCAGGTCTACAATACAGACCAAGACCAGGATTCAAATCTGAAGGTGTCAACTATTGGACGATCACCAGGACAATCTCACCAACAAATAAAACATCAGCTTTTCACTGCAATTACTATCAAGACATGCAAGGCATTCAGTGAAAAGTGAATCCAACTAAAACTGTTACCAAAAGGTCATAAGAACATTCCACATCATGTCGGCCAATGAAATTGTAACCACAGCGACCACCTCCGAGGTCACCTTATCTGTTGTCATGGTGACAGTACTGGTCCTCCTGGTGGTTTGTAACCTCTTTATGTACACAGTGAAACGCATGCTCACGGACCCTAAGTTCTGTTTACGTCAGATGGTCCAACGCTACACCCAGAAAGTTCCTCGAGTTCGGGTCTTAGAGGTACATCCCAAACCCAGGACCCCGTCCCTGATTGGGCACAGCCATGCAGACCTCATATCCTTGTTATCTCATTCAGCTAACCTACAGCTGGAAGGTATATCAAGAGAAACAGCTTACTCTCCCACATTACAGCTTGAAAGTGCAACAAGGGAGACAATTCATTCTTCTTCACTACAGGACGACAGCATTACAAGGGAGATTACTCCTGTATATACGAAGGATGATACATGGGAGGCAGCGAATATCAACATGACTATCAACTGTGAAATGCAGAAAGTTGAGTTCATACAGGAGGATGTGAGGAAACAGGTCATGTCTGATCCTACTGACATACAAAATATGACAGACAGCAATTTACATGTACCACCATCAAGAAAACATAAAGAAATTCAACAACCAGTAGAGGAAAAGAAGCAGAAAGAAAATGGACAAAATACAAAACATACTGTACCATTCTCCTCCAAAGTTTTAAATTTGAATAAGGATAAAGTACAATCTAAAATAGCTAACAAAGATAACAGATCTATATCCAAGGGAGACAACTCATTGACAACACCATACTCTGATAGTATGAATTTAACGTCTGACAAAAGGACACCTGCAACAGCAAAGGTTGGAGGTGTCAGACCTAGAAAGCAAATATCAGGACAGAAAGAGGCTGCTGTGTCAAACAGTGTTGTGACGCAAGAACAGTACGCCACAAATGTGAAACAAGAGAACATTGTAAACGGAAACCGGGAGAATGAAGGACATAAAGATGGCGCTAACGAGAAAGCTATAGCAGGTGATGTACTTATAAAGACCAGTGGTCCCGTGGTACACGTGGCAGACATCAACACTTCATCAACTATTATACGCTGTCAGGAGACTGTGTCTAAAGGCTGTCAGGAGACTGTGTCTAAAGGCTGTCAGGAGACTGTGTCTAAAGGCTGTCAGGAGACTGTGTCTAAAGGCTGTCAGGAGACTGTGTCTAAAGGCTGTCAGGAGACTGTGTCTAAAGGCTGTCAGGAGACTGTGTCTAAAGGCTGTCAGGAGACTGTGTCTAAAGGCTGTCAGGAGACTGTGTCTAAAGGCTGTCAGGAGACTGTGTCTAAAGGCTGTCAGGAGACTGTGTCTAAAGGCTGTCAGGAGACTGTGTCTAAAGGCTGTCAGGAGACTGTGTCTAAAGGCTGTCAGGAGACTGTGTCTAAAGGCTGTCAGGAGACTGTGTCTAAAGGCTGTCAGGAGACTGTGTCTAAAGGCTGTCAGGAGACTGTGTCTAAAGGCTGTCAGGAGACTGTGTCTAAAGACTGTCAGGAGACTGTGTCTAAAGGCTGTCAGGAGACTGTGTCTAAAGACGCAACTTCAGGGTCAAAATCTCAACCTGTTTCCAATATTGAACCTGAAACAACTAATGGTTCCAACATTGGTCATGGAACAGTGCCTGGTTCTGACATTAATCATGGAAAAACCTCTGGTCCAAACACTGGACCTGGAACGCCAACTGGTCCCAGCACTGGACCTGAAACACCAACTGGTCCCAGCACTGGACCTGAAACACCAACTAGTCCCAGCACTGGACCTGAAACACCAACTGGGCCCATCACTGGACCTGAAACACCAACTGGTCCCACCACTGGACCTGAAACACCAACTGGTCCCAGCACTGGACCTGGAACACCAACTGGTCCCAATATCAGACCTGGAACACCAACTGGTCCCAGCACTGGCTCTAGAACACCGACTGGTCCCAGCACTGGACCTGAAACACCAACTGGTCCCATCACTGGACCTGAAACACCAACTGGTCCCAGCACTGGACCTGGAACACCAACTGGTCCCAGCACTGGCTCTGGAACACCAATTGGTCCCAGCACTGGCTCTAGAACACCGACTAGTCCCAGTACTGGACCTGGAACACTAACTGAGCCAAGCACTGGACCTGGCACAATCTCTAGATCTGATTCTGAAATTGGACAGATAATACTGACAAACACCTATGATACACCTGTGATTAAGTTCTTCAAGGAAATGAAAAGTGAAAGTATAGAAACACCAGAAGAGATGACGATCATCAAAGGACAGGTTACAGGAGAATCAGAGGGGATGAATGGACAAACAAACAAACAAGTGGGGCACGAACAGGGAGGAAACCCAAACCTGTCAGAGGTAAACAATTATAGCAGAGGAAATAGAAATACAGATTCTGAGGCAGAGATAAAAGGGGGACAGATTGTTACAGAGAATGGAACAGATGAACAAAGTATCAAGGAAATCTGTTCTACTTCAGAAAACGATGAAAGAGAATTACAGGATAAACAGATTTACACTGGAAAAACGGACAGAGAAATTCCTAACAAGATTGAGTCGGAAGTACAGGATCTTGTTAACGAAGCTACAGGAAACCAAATGACTGGTGCACCAGCGGCAGCTGACACCAAAGACAGTATTAAAACTGATAAAGAGGGAAACACAGAAGGGACTCCGATCAAGTCTGGAGTAGAGGATCAAAAAGGTGAAAGTGATAGCTACAGAAAGATGAATAAGCTTTCAGAAGAAGCTAGAGAGGGCGACACAAGCATAAATACAGACATTGAGAGAGAAATAGAGACTGCCACAAATAAAAAAGAACAAACAAAGACAGAAGAGATAGAGGAAAAAGATCAAGTGCAATTATTGAGTGAAAGTGATAGTGAAATCAAGACAGAAAAAGAAAGGAAAGAAGAATTGAAGGTATTTCTTAACACTGAAAGCAAGAATATAACGAAAGGGGTACGGAATGTGGAAGATTCAAAATCATCAGTGGAATCAGAGGTTGAGAAAGACCTGACAGAGTATATTAGATCTAACACAATGGAAACACACGATAATGTTGATGACAAAGTGGAGGATGAAGTTGTTGATGAGAAAGTTGGTGATAATGATAAGGTTTCATCACTGAAGGATGCCAAGCCTACAACAAACAACAAGAGCAGTAAACAGGAAGTAGTAACAACAAAATCACAGGCCGTCCGGGCCAGAAACATGGCATCTAAACGCAACGGCAAACGCTTCAAACAGCTCAAACTAACACATTAACAGTGTGATTATCAAAGTTGATATATTGACCTTAGGAGATGATTACAAGTTAATATCTTAACCTTAGGTGATGGTCACAAGTTGATACTTTGACCTTAGGAGATGGTCAACAATTAATATCTGTATTAATCTTAGGTGATGGTCACAAGTTAATATATTAACCTTAGGTGATTGTTTTCAGTTAATACATTGACCTAGGTGATGGTCACACAAACCAAATGGTACAAGTTATTATATATAGACTTAGACTGAGGTTGTAAGCCAAAGGTCACAGGTTAAGACATCAGCCATTTAAAAAGTTTTACATAAGCAAGAACATTACAGATTTTACTTGCTCAACTGGAAAAATCTCAACCAATGATATGAAACAGTTGACATTAAATTCACCAGGAAAGTGTGGCTTGTCCAATTCAGTGAAATACAACTACAATACTGATTTATTTTATGACTGTGTTATTGAATATCAACCTGGACAGTTGAGGTTAGAAAAAACATTTACAAGTTTAATACTTCTGGCAATATAAATCAGATAATTTATTATTATTAAACTCCTGGAATGCAAAAAGATAAAAAAGATTTGTCAGTGTGACCTGATAGATACTTGGTATCAGAGACTTAACAACAGATTCCTACTTCTACAATCGTGTGTGAGATATAGAGGGAGGTACAATGTTCCTACTTATACAATCGTGTGTGAGATATAGAGGGAGGTACAATGTAACATCGATGCCCTAAATAACTTTACAAAACACTCCACCCTACATTTATCTGTTATCTGATAACTATAATGTAAAATTCATCAAATATTTCACCTTTATACTTTTTTGTTTTTAACTTTCTATTCAGAAGGCTTCTGTTACAATATTTTCAAATCAAAATTGCTTGTTCAGAAATCTTTTAAGCATATATGGATACAAAATGTCATGATTGGTTTTACATTACCTTGCTGTGGATTTATCCCTGTAACTGTATACATGTATGTGGAATACTTACCTGAGATTTCATGATAAAGTAAGGGGCTTTGTTGGATTCTGTGGGAATTTCATAAAAACCATGTGACTCTTAATTCGAGGAGACCATGAAACTTTAAAGAACACCATGGGATTCTGTGGGACACCGTGGGACTCTGTGGGACACTGTGGGACTCTGTGGGACACCGTGGGACTCTGTAGGACTCTACTAAATTTGTTTGTTTTATTGTTTTGGGAGGGTGCATGGACGCCTATGAGACAGTGGAACTCTAAATAACTCTATGGAACTTTATAGGATTCTGTGGGTTTCTATGGGATACTATGGAACTCTACAGAAATATTAGGCACATTGTGAGTCTAGGGAAATCCATGGTACTCTGTCCCACATATATGTTCACAATAACGAGGTAATAAAAAGGTACATTTAAACTTGCTGGTTAAATTCGGATCCACATTTAGTTTTTTTTTTATCTTTACAAGGAACTACATACTTTAAAATAAGAATGAATAATTAGGTAAACCATTTATACTGATACTACTGAAAAAATGACTTCAAGTGAATTTTGGCTAGTTAAATTTTATAAAACAATAGTCTTTATCTTAATATATTTATTGTAAGTAAAAACAAAGGAATTGGACAAAGAGATTAACCTAAAATATAAATGACCTCAAACTGCTTTGTTCTTTTAGGCAATTTAACAATCATTTTGATACACCTGGAAAAAGGAACCTTTCTTAAATTCACCATTGTTTTATTAACGGATCTACAATGGAGAGAAATGAATTCCTGTCAGTGCATTATGACTATAACATTGTTTTTCTTAGGAATTTTCAATGGATCAATAAAGTACTGAGATAACAGTATATTGAGTCATCTTTTTGTGTTCTAATACACTTCAGATCTCATTTAATGTGTATGAAGCTGTACTAGGGCCATGGTGTTTCTATATGTGGATACAGAATGAATGCTAAAACAACTTAACCCACTTTAGTGCCAACATTATTATATATGATACATTTTCAAAACTATGATGATAGCTAAGGATTCCTTTCCCACGGCAATGTTTTGTTGTTTTTATATACAGTAACCTCCCCTTAATTCAGCTTTGGTACGCACAGCTGAGTCAGGACACTTCCATTGACCAGGTAATTCAGATGGTTATAGAGCAACATTATCAAAATCAGAGATCCACGGTCCAACAATCCTGGTCTAGGTCAGAGCTCCCCCCCCCCCCCCC